TACTTTGCTTCTTGGCTGTAAGAATCTCATTGAGTCATGTGATAAGGTAGATCATTAGACTAAAAAGTTGAATACAATGGGATAAACAATTCAAAAGAGATGTGTGCAATGAGTAGCCTTAAGTACAAAAGCAAAAGTGTAATTTGGAGAAAGTGATACACTGGACTCTAGAGATAATATAAGGCAAGTTCAGAGAAAGACATGCAGATAAAAGGGACAGCACAAGCAAAATCCTGGACATATACGATAACAAGGCACATGATTACCATTTCACTCACCACCCCTTCTTTGCTAAAAATTAAAGTGAGTGAGCATAATATTATCATCCCCCTCCCCAGTTTTCTGCTGGTTGATTGCAAATAAGACTTTCCTGTCTGGGCTGTCTTTGAACGACAGTTCTTGGGTCTCAGCATCCTGAGTAGCTAGGATTATAGGTATGAGCTACCAACTCCCAGATCTGATTTTTTTATTTGTCTTTCTATGGGTTTCTTAAGCAACATGAATTTTTTTCAAATACTGAAAATCACACAGAAATGTATGAGGTAGAACGAATTGTCTATCTATCTATAGACAACTATATCTCCAACTTTGAGAGATGCATGGTAATCTGGTGTGCCTAGATCTATCTCCAAGCTAGGATCATACTCACTTTTTGCAACCTTTTTTCAGTACACATAACTAAATGTTTTATCCTATATCATCATCTTTTGGATGTTTAATAACCCATTGTTGGAACTGAATGGCAGTGTGGTACAATGATAAAACAAGGGCTCACTAGTGTGAGATGAGTACAGAAATGTTACTTTCATGTGACCTTAACTATCCGTAACTATCCTTGCCTCAGTTTCCCTGAATGTGTTTTAAAGATCCAAATAGTACATATCTACCTCAATGCATTTATTTAAAATGTCATTTGTAAAGCACTTAGAGTAGTGCCTGATAGCCAGTAAACATTATGTTTGAACTCAAGTTACCAAGTCTCTATTGGTGATGTCTGCTTATGCTGTTGCCAAACTTTTGCAAGTGTTGGCTACTAAAGAAATTTTTAAGGAAAGTTTTGAATTGCCCTTAGACCTTATTACATTTGGCTTTCAATTTCTTATTAACTTACCAGCCAGCATCCAGCATTTACTGAGTAAATGTATACTAATGTCAACCACCTTTGAAGGCAGCATACAAAGAAGTAGATAGTGTCCCATGCAGTAGTTTCCAGGTCAGACTTAAAACAAATCCATTGTAGATTTTCTTTCTGCCGAGAGTCTGAGCACAGACTGGGAAAAGAACCTGAAAGATTAGGAGCTTAGAGGTCAAGTAGTAAGTTAAACTGAAGGGCTTGGTTGGAAGGAAGACAGAGTGTGAATATAGGCCAGACATAGAATTCCAGGGACAAATATGTGGGCAAAGAAATGCTTGGGGACTAAGTGTGGTAAGCCTCCTCTGAGAAGCTGCTTCATTATATGTACATGCACTTCTCATCAACCTGTGGGTAAACTGAGGCCATATTAATTCCAAAGCTACTGGACTCTATCTGACCTCAGCCTCCAACTGAGCCTCCAGTCTCCCTAGACCATTCCTGAGAGGGAGGGGTAAAGGCATCCTTAATAGCTCCAGGACACACTTGTTCATATATGTGGCCTGATAGTGACTTGCCAGTCTCCACCCTGGCTGCTGCCATACCCTCACTCATCCCATTCCAGGAAAGAATTCTCCACTGAGGTCTGTGGCAGGGTATCTGTACCATAGCATGTGCGGTCTGAGAAGACACTGACCTCCTCCAAATGGGCATGTAGATACCCGCATGAATTTAGCTTCTCTTATTTCTCTGCCTATTTTCAATCTCTGCTGAAGTTCAAAGCCTGTCCCTCCAGGCTGAGTTGAGGTGAAGGGAGAAAAAGATATCAGGCAGTTACTCCCTTGTGTGTGTTTCTGCTTTATCTCCCCAGTTACTCAAGAACAAATATTGACTAACCATGGAGGTAGACTGAAAAAATAATTCCAACTCCCAGCCCCCTGTGCACCGATGACTTTTGCAATAGGACATTCAGCTCCACCCCCTGGAATGGCTTATGATGACTTTGCTTAGCTGCATATGGATAACTTGTTGATGTGTCTGGGCTCCTCAACAAGCCCTGTCCTAGAAGCAGCCAGCTTAGACTGCTGGCTGATAAAAATGGCCTCAGCCAACCACCAGCTTACATCCAGCTTCCTTACACAGCAGAGCCCAGGAGAACCTGCTGTGCCTGGCCCAGCTATGATCAGTAGAGATGCAGCAATGACCTGCTTTGTTTGAGTGCAGAAGAGAGGTGAAAAACCATCAGCTACCACACAGATTACTGAGCAAATAAATGTTGTGTCATTTGAAGCTACTGGATTTTCTGTTAATAAATACCATATTATTTCAAAAGAGAGCAGACCTAATTCTCTTTCTGACCTGTATTTTTTATAGAGTTCTGAGACATTGCATAAATAGACTCCTCCTCCTCCTC